GGAATGTAGGGATCATTGTGACACTGAAAGGCCCCATCCAACAGCGGGTCCATTGTGACACCACAGGGCCTCATGGAACTGTGGAGACCATTATGATGCTTTGGGGTGTCATGGAACCAAGGGCCATTGTGACACTGTGAGACCCTATGGAGCCAAAGGTCCATTGTGACACTGGGCAACCAAAGGACACCATTGTGACACTGCAGGGCTTCGTGGAACCAAGGGAGCATTGTGACATGGTGGAACCCCATCCAATCAAGGGTTCATTGTAACACTGCAGGGCTGCATGGAAGCAAAGCTCCAGGGAGACACAGAGGGGCCTGCTGTCATCAATGGCCCATTGTGACACTGTGGAGCCAAAGGAGACTATTGTGACATGAGAAACCCCCATGGTCCAAAGGTCCATTGTGACATTGCAGGGCCTCATGTCATAAGTGGTCCATTGTGACACTGGGCAACCAAAGGAGACCATTGTGATACTGCAGGGCTTCATGGAACCTAGGAGCCATGGTGACAACGTGGAACCAAGGATCCATTGCTGCACTGCAAGACCTCATGGAAACAAGGATCCATTGTGACACTGTGGGGCCCAAGAATCCAAGGGACTTTGTGACACTATGGGGTCCCAAGGAACCAAAGGAACACTGTGACACTGGGAGGCCTCATGGAGTCATGAAGACCATCGTGACACTCTGGGGCCTCATGGAACTGTGGTGATACCAAGCTGGCTGAGAGTGCTGATATGCTGGAGTGGAGGAGGGCTCTGAGAGAACAGTTCTGCTGAAAGCCTGTCCCAAAGCTGCTTTTCCTGCAAATGTGCTCAATGAATTCTCATTTTATGCAGCCCCAGGTGTTGTGTGAATGTGGGAATGACAAGGGAAGGATGGAACAGCTCTGCTGGGGGGGAGTTCTCTTTTCCTTATTTTTTGTTTTTTGTTTTTTTTTTTTTTTTGATTTGGGATTTTTGTTCTTTGCTTTGTTTTGGCTTGTTTGTGGGTTTTTTTGGGTTGTTTTTTGTTTCTTTGGGTGGTGGGGTTTTTTTTTTGTTTTTGTCTGGGTTGTTTTGGTTTTTTAACCGACTCCCCCTGTCAGCTCTGGGCAGAGCTCTGTAACTGTGTCTGTCACTTGTCTGTGGCACTATGCAGGTGGCCAGGAGGACCTTCCCCGAGCTGTGTGCAGAGGAATCCACATCAGCCCAGGCCGGGCTGGGCAGTGGCTGCTCAGTTCCATGGACTGGATGCGGCTCTGGACGCTTCCCTTGGAGCGTCTGCAGGGAGGGAACACTGGGGCTGTCACCGCTGGGGTGTCACACACAGGGGAATGCTGGGGCTGTCAGCACTGGGGTGTCACACACAGGGGAACGCTGGGGCTGTCACCGCTCCTGCCCTGTCCCCAACAGCTCTGCCAGTGCTTTGAGGGGACACAGAGGCTGAGCCAAAGGGTGAGAATTGCAGAAGGGGCTGAGCTGGGAGGGGCCCACTGGGACCATCGAGTCACAGAATGACAGAATTACTGGGTTGGAAGAGACCTTCAAGGTCATCAAATTCAATGCAGCCCTAACACCTCAACTAGACCATGGCACCAAGTGCCACATCCAGTCTTTTCTTAAACATATCCAGGCTTTTTTTAAACACATCCAGAGATGGTGACTCTACCACCTCCCTGAGGAAACCAATCCAATACTTTATCATCTTTTCTGTAAAAAAAATTTTCCTAATATCCAACCTGTATTTCCCTTGGTGCAGGTTAAGACTGTGTCCTCTGGTTCTGTCAGTTGTTGCCTGGAGAAAAGGACCGACCCCCACCTGACTACAACCCCCTTTCAGGAACCTGGAGCAATAAGGTCACCTCTGAGTCTCCTTTTCTCCAGGAAAAACAACCCCAGCTCCCTCAGTTGTTCCTCACAGGATTTGTGTTCCAAGCCCCTCTCAAGAGCGAGACGGAGCCCATCTGGTTCCAGCAGGCCAGGTGCTGTAAAAGTTGCCCCATGATCAAAGAATCCAAAATTGTGCCGATGACATCAACCCTTGAACCACTTACTCATAGTGTGAGCTCTCCTATTCCTTTCACCATTTTTCTCAACCAGCAAAGGGACTGAGGAAAAGACTACCTGTGCCCCTGTCCTATCAACCACTTGTCCCAGTGCCCTAAAGTCCCTTTTCATTGCCCTGACACTCCTCTTTTCAATGTCATCACTGCCAGCCTGGTGTATCAGCAGTGGGTAATAATCAGAGGGCTGAGTCAGCCCAGGCAGTCTCTCAGTGATATCCTGTACCCGGGCCCCAGGGAGGCAGCAGACCTCTCTGTGGGGTGTGTCTGGGGGACACATGGGGCCTCTGTTCCCCTCAGAGGAGTCACTCACCACGATTACCCTTTTTTCCTTTTTGATGTTAGAGGTGATAATCCTCACAAATTAATCATAATTGGGAGGCTCACTGGGCAGATAATTTTCTTCTAAATCATGTGGCCGACTGTCTAGATCCAGGGGCTCATTCCTGTTCTGAAGTGGCACCTGGCTTGGGAGAGAGGGTCAGGAGAAATTTTTATATTTGCCTCCTCAAGAAGATAACCACTCCCACTACCCTTCATTGACCAGGTGTCCCTCTATTGTCTGACAGTGAGAGGCATAAAAGACAGTGGGAACCAAGAGAAGCATTGCTGCACTGCCAGACCTCATGGGACCAAGGATCCACTGGGACACTGCAGGGCATTGGGGGACCATGGCATCATTGTGACACTGCAGGGCCCACGGATGCAAGGGACTTTGTGACACCACGGGGTTCCACGGAACCAAAGGGACATTGTGACACTGGGAGGCCTCATGGAATCATGGAGATCGTTGGGACACTCTGGGGCCTCATTGAACCATGGTGACACCAAGCTGGGTGTGAGTGTGGATCTGCCGGAGGGTAGGAGGGCTCTGCACAGGGACCTGGACAGGCTGGATCCAGGGACCAAATCCAGCAAGGTGAGGTTTAACAAGTCCAAGTGCCAGGTCCTGCACATAGGTCACAACAACCCCTGCAGCACCACAGGCTGGGGACAGAGTGGCTGGACAGCAGCTAGGCGGAAAGGGACCTGCAGGGACTGATGGACAGCAGGCTGGACATGAGGCAACAGTGTGCCCAGGTGGCCAAGAAGGCCAATGGCTCCTGGCCTGGATCAGGAATAGTGTGGCCAGCAGGAGCAGGGCAGGGATTCTTCACCTGTGCTCTGCCCTGGTTGGGCAGAACCTCAAGTGCTGTGTCCAGTTCTGGGCCCCGAATTTCGGAAGGACATGGAGGGGCTAGAGCGTGTCCAGAGAAGGGCAGCAAGGTTGGTGAGGGGTCTGGAGCACAAGTCCTGTGAGGAGCAGCTGAGGGAGCTGGGGTTGTTTATCCCAGAGAAGAGGAGACCCAAAGGAGACAGGGGGGTGTCAGGGCACAGGTTGGACTTGATGATCTCCAAGGTCTTTTCCAACCAGGCTGATTCTGGGATTCCCTGAAACCACCCTTGGAGCAGTTGGATGGGCTGTTTGCAGGGAAGGGAACAGGGGTGGAAGAGGAAGAAATTTGTAGCAGGAAGAGTGAAGAAAGCAAAGGCAAAGCAAAGGAAATGCTGGGGGCAGTTTGGGGGTGGCTGCCAGGCAGCCCTGGCTCTGAGCAACAGCGTCTGCAGTGGGACAGGAAACTCCCAGCTGATGGGAACAAACTTTCTGGCTGAGTGCAGAGGCCAGGACAAAGCTGAGTGGTTTCCCTTGTGTCCCCCAGCCCTTGCTGGCCCCAGGGGCTGATGGCATTTGTGCTCCCTCAGCTTCATGTCCCACAGCAGCAGCATGGGGGTGCTCCCGCCTGCTGTGTGCAATGCAAACAGGGGCTCCTGAGCCAGGGCTGCCGTGTCTGTGCCTGCAAGGATGCGGCACCTGTGTGAGCTGGGGGAGAGGCCAGGGCTGCAGAGGGGGGATGTTGTTGTCAGCTCCATGAGGATGCTCTGGGACGCTGCCCTGGGCTGTCCAGCACATTGGGGATGGATCAGCCCCTGTTCTGCTGCTCCTTCCCGTGTGCCCCAGGGCCCTTGCAGAGCCCCAGCCATGCTGTTTGACCCCAGCCTGCCCATGGCCAGCCTGGGGCTGCTCACCCTGGGGGTTTTCTGTGCTGAGCATTGGCCTGGTCGTGTTCTTGAGAGAGCCTGGGCAAGGAGCCTGGAGCCCCCAGGGCCTGGCCTGAGGGGTCAGGGCTGCCCCAGCAGTGCCCATGGCCTGTCCCTGCTGCAGCCCCAGCACTGCCACCCCCAGGACTGAGTGCCCGGCCCCGAGAGCCCTCAGGCCCTGCAGCAACACCAGGGCCACCAGGGCAGCGGGGCAGGGCCACGGCAGCAGCACTGGAACACCAAGTGCTGCTGCTGCTGCTGGGCACAGCTGCTGGGCCAGCACTGATCTGCCCCAGCTTTGCACACAGGCATTGCTGCTGCAGCACCAGAGAAGGCAACAAAAGGGCATATCTGAAGGAAACTCTGCTGGGAGATCCTTTAGTTCCTTTAAAGCCACTGATTGCACAGCCCCTCAATGACACAGTCTGTGGCCACAGGACAGGTGGAGAGAAACAAAATGAGAAATGACAGAAAAAAATTACGTTTCTTTCTGGATAATAGTAAAAACATAAAACAAGGAAAAGTAATCTCCTCAATGAAACCAACGAAAAGTAACAAAGATGACTTGTATTGCAAGAGATTTGCAGAAATTGGCCAGCAGTTTAATGTTCCTGAAAGCATCCAGTCATCAGTCTCCACACTGCAGCCTTGAGCTCCCAGTTCCTCAGGCTGTAGATGAGGGGGTTCAGGGCTGGAGGCACCACCGAGTACAGAACTGACACTGACAGATCCAGGGACGGGGAGGAGATGGAGAGGGCCTTTAAGTGAGCAAAAACGACAGTGTTGAGGAACAGGGAAACCACTGCCAGGTGAGGGAGGCAGGTGGAAAAGGCTTTGTGCCGTCCCTGCCCAGAGGGGATCCTCAGCACAGCCCTGAAGATCTGCACATAGGAGAAAACAATGAACAAAAACCACCCAAATACGAGACAGGCTCTGATTGCAATAAGCCTAAGTTCCTTGAAATAAGATTTAGAACAGGAGAGCTTGAGGATCTGTGGCACTTCACAGAAGAACTGGCCCAGGGCATTGCCATGGCACAGGGGCAGGGAAAATGTATTGGCTGTGTGCAGCAGTGAATAGAGAAAGGCACTGGCCGAGGCAGCTGCTGCCATGGGGGCACAAGCTCTGCTGTCCAAATGCTTTGAGATACTCAAGTTGTTTAAGGTACTTTGTATTTTCCTTTCCTCAGTCTGAATCTCTGAGAGATTTTGTGCCATGCTGGCCTCCAGTTCTCTCCTCCAAGGAGTCCATGTGGAGCCTGTGCTGGGGATGGACCTCAGTGGGACCCATTCATATCTTGAGACGCTTTGGGTGTTTCCTCAGACTTGGACTCGACACCTTGTCCTGAGGCCCTGGGGCCTCCTGGCACAGCCCCAGCCAGGCTGGGCACTGTCAGCCCCTTGTCCTGCCCTCAGCATCCCCCCCTAGCCCACATCCCAGTGGCCTCAAGGATCTGCTGGAAGGAGTCCCTGGGGAGCCTTGCTCAGCAATGGCCCTGGGGGCTCCTCAATGCTCCCAGGGACTGTTCTGCTCTCTTGCAGTTCATCAGGAAGGTTTCTGTAGTGGTTTTGGCTCACGAATTTGTAATTTCTTGGCAAATGTCTCAATTATTTTGGTGGGTTCAGTATTGGCTAATTACCATTGCGCTCACTAGAATACTCTTACTTATTTCCTGCTGTGAGCTCAGATTGGGAGAAAGGCAAGGTGGGCTCAAAACTTTAAAAGGGTATAAAATTTATAATCAGTAACTAAAAGAAAGAGTAATAAGAATCAGAACAAAATGTTCGGAACACTTTTCCTCTCCCTACAACCTTTTCTTTCTTACTTAAAATGTGGAGACAAAGCCTAAAATTTTCAGTTTACCACCTCTAGAATAGTCTTTCTTCAGTTCACTTAGGGAGAGGAGTCTGTCTTTCGTGCTATGGAGACTTCTCTGTAAGACAGTTCTCTCGTCGCTCTCAATTCCCACAAATAGCAGCTGCCTGGAAAATCTGCAATCGTGAAATCCCTCCTGTGGGGCACCCTCCCATTTTTTTACAGCTTTTCCTGCAGTTGTGTTTATGGGCCATGTCAACTTATGGGGTATTCATTTCAAGATGAGCTGTTTAAGAGTAAAGGTTCTCTTCATCTATTTCTGAAATCATCTTCATCTCTGGGAACAGAGATCTACTTCCACTCTCCCTGAGGCACAGGGTCTCAATATTCTTCTCTCTTTCTCTGAACAAATTTTTTTGCGATCACAGCTACTTCAATATTTGCTTTCTTAAGCATGGAGGCCTTTGCTGAACAAGTCATTGCCCCATACTTTTCCGTGCATTATAGAGAAAAAGAGAGTCTGATGTATCAATTACATCCTTCTCCATAGCTTTACAAGACAATTTCAGCCCCAAGATCAAGGCATCTCCTCAGTCCTTCCATCTGGGACTCAACTTCCCCTTCACTGACCTCAGTGTCTTCATGTTGCTCCTCTGTGTGCCTGCACTTTGTCCTTTTCTCTCACTGGAGGGAGGATGGAAGCATTGAAAGAGTTACTATCTCAGCTGGGGCCTGCAGATGGTTCCATGAGCCTGGCCAGGCTGGGTCCTTGCGGCCGGAGCTGTTTTACCGTGGAGGTTTCTGCAGCGGCTGCACTGGGGCTGTGTCAGGATGGGCCGCGCTGGGGCAGGGCCAGGATCTCAGCAGCCAGGCCAGAGCACAGCAGCAGCACGGCCGGGGCCGATGGCTTCTCCTCCCCCTGCCCGGGGCTTGCGGCTGAAGCCCAAGGGTGGCAGAATCTTGGCCGAGCCGGCCTGGCCCGGGGCTGCTCCTGGGGCCCGGCGGATCCTGGCTGGGCCCGGGCTGGCGGCGACTGAGAAAGTGTCCCCAGGCCCCAGGCAGAGCAGAGAACTGGAGGCAGTGATGACAGGTGGGGACAAAGAGAAGCCAAGTCTTGGTGGCCTGGGGCACAGCAACAGGGTCTGTGCCACCCAGGGCTGGGAGGAGACACCTTGTCCTGAGGCCCTGGGGCCTCCTGGCACAGCCCCAGCCAGGCTGGGCACTGTCAGCCCCTTGTCCTGCCCTCAGCATCCCCCGCTAGCCCACATCCCAGTGGCCTCAAGGATCTGCTGGAAGGAGTCCCTGGGGAGCCTTGCTCAGCAATGGCCCTGGGGGCTCCTCAATGCTCCCAGGGACTGCAGGGTTTTCAAAGGACTTTGGGTTTGGCTTTTGCCTTGGAGTCTCTGAGAACTTTGTGCACTCATGGCCTCCAATTATCTGCTGTAATTAGTCCCTGGAGAGGCTTTGTTAATAACAACATTCAGTGGGGTTCATTAATAGTTCTTGGTACTTCAGCTTTCTAAGCTACTTGATGTTTCCCTTTTGATACGGACTTTATGAGAAAGATTGTGCAGTCACAGCCTCCAATTATCTCTTTTAATGTGTACCTTGAGAGCTCTGTATTGAGACTCAGTGAGGCTCATAAATGCTTTGAGATACTCAAGTTGTTTAAGGTACTTTGTATTTTCCTTTCCTCAGTCTGAATCTCTGAGAGATTTTGTGCCATGCTGGCCTCCAGTTCTCTCCTCCAAGGAGTCCATGTGGAGCCTGTGCTGGGGATGGACCTCAGTGGGACCCATTCATATCTTGAGACGCTTTGGGTGTTTCCTCAGACTTGGACTCCTGGAAAGGTTTGTGTAATCTCCTCTCAGGCCCTGAGGTTCCAGGGCTCAGCTCCAAATGCACCACGGAGCTCATAGGATCAAACAAGTCCTGACAAACCATGGCTGTGCCTTGATTTCCTTCTGCTCTCTTGCAGTTCATCAGGAAGGTTTCTGTAGTGGTTTTGGCTCACGAATTTGTAATTTCTTGGCAAATGTCTCAATTATTTTGGTGGGTTCAGTATTGGCTAATTACCATTGCGCTCACTAGAATACTCTTACTTATTTCCTGCTGTGAGCTCAGATTGGGAGAAAGGCAAGGTGGGCTCAAAACTTTAAAAGGGTATAAAATTTATAATCAGTAACTAAAAGAAAGAGTAATAAGAATCAGAACAAAATGTTCGGAACACTTTTCCTCTCCCTACAACCTTTTCTTTCTTACTTAAAATGTGGAGACAAAGCCTAAAATTTTCAGTTTACCACCTCTAGAATAGTCTTTCTTCAGTTCACTTAGGGAGAGGAGTCTGTCTTTCGTGCTATGGAGACTTCTCTGTAAGACAGTTCTCTCGTCGCTCTCAATTCCCACAAATAGCAGCTGCCTGGAAAATCTGCAATCGTGAAATCCCTCCTGTGGGGCACCCTCCCATTTTTTTACAGCTTTTCCTGCAGTTGTGTTTATGGGCCATGTCAACTTATGGGGTATTCATTTCAAGATGAGCTGTTTAAGAGTAAAGGTTCTCTTCATCTATTTCTGAAATCATCTTCATCTCTGGGAACAGAGATCTACTTCCACTCTCCCTGAGGCACAGGGTCTCAATATTCTTCTCTCTTTCTCTGAACAAATTTTTTTGCGATCACAGCTACTTCAATATTTGCTTTCTTAAGCATGGAGGCCTTTGCTGAACAAGTCATTGCCCCATACTTTTCCGTGCATTATAGAGAAAAAGAGAGTCTGATGTATCAATTACATCCTTCTCCATAGCTTTACAAGACAATTTCAGCCCCAAGATCAAGGCATCTCCTCAGTCCTTCCATCTGGGACTCAACTTCCCCTTCACTGACCTCAGTGTCTTCATGTTGCTCCTCTGTGTGCCTGCACTTTGTCCTTTTCTCTCACTGGAGGGAGGATGGAAGCATTGAAAGAGTTACTATCTCAGCTGGGGCCTGCAGATGGTTCCATGAGCCTGGCCAGGCTGGGTCCTTGCGGCCGGAGCTGTTTTACCGTGGAGGTTTCTGCAGCGGCTGCACTGGGGCTGTGTCAGGATGGGCCGCGCTGGGGCAGGGCCAGGATCTCAGCAGCCAGGCCAGAGCACAGCAGCAGCACGGCCGGGGCCGATGGCTTCTCCTCCCCCTGCCCCTGTTGGCAACCGCAGCCATGGCCCGGCCTGGCCTCGGCCCCAGGGCCTCCCCTGCCCTGCCCAGCAACCAATGGGGCCTGGGGGGCTCCCTGGGAAGGGGCCCAGCCCCACAGCAGGAGCCACCCAGCCCGGCCCGGCTGAGACGGGGGCTGGGCCAGCCTTGTTACCTCTTTGCTGGCCAGAAGGGAAAGAGACCCTGCCAGGCTTTCTCGTCTTTAACATGTGTCTTCACAGAGGCGTGCACAGTTTCCTTAGTGGTTTAACATATTGTCAATTCTCAAAGCTAAATACTGATTTTTTTTTGCCAGACAGAGAGGAAACTGCTAGCAGCTTCTCTTACGACGTCAGTTCCATAGTGCAAAACCACCACAATAGCACAGAGCACAGAGCTCCTTTGTCCACATGTAGTTCTCATGTGCCCGAGGCCTCAAAATCCCCCCTTGGGAGATCTCTGGACCCTCTCCAAGGGGTTTTCAAATGAAAATATTCAGCTCATAGTCTAAGAAAATCACCAAAGGACAGGGCCCACCTGACCTGTCTGTCCTGGCTACTTTTGTCTGGGAGCAATCCTTGGATATACGGAATTTGGGAGGCCAAATTATAATTTTGGCCATGGCCCCTGGACATGAAATCTGGCTCTTTTCCCTAGGAATGAAGGAACAGAGCCCCAGTGTTTCAGGGGCAGATGAGAGGTGACCACCAGAGGCCAAGGCCAGCCAGAGCTGGCAGGATTTTTTCTGGCAGATACCATTGCACAGAGGAAATTTTTTATGGAGAATACCAATTTTGGCAGTGAGGCAGTGAGGATGTGAAAAAAGATGGTTCTTTTCCATAGCACAGAAAGCACAGAGCCCCAGTGCTCCAGGAGCTGATAACAGGCAGCCCTTGACATCCCAACATTACCCTGACCTCTCAGGTGGCCCCTGGGAGGCCAAGCCAGCCAGACCTGCTCCATGTTCCCTCGGTTCCAATGAAACTCCCTAAGAGAAAGATCCCTTAAGAGAAGATGGATCCCAGCTTTTGGAGGTACTAAAATTTTGACTGGAAATTGGGTGACCTGAACTGCTGGGCCCTATTTGGAACAGATTTTTGGACTGGTTACTTCAAAAGAGGATATCCAATCTAAATTATTCTGAAGTTTTATGTAAAGGCTTCCATCTGAACTGCGTCACCAAAATCTTCCTCCAGAGCCAGTGGATGTGGAATTTTGGGTATGAAATCCAG